CATCCTTCCACCAATACACTTCCTAATCTGATAAATATTGAACAAGCAATCATTAATAGAGTAATGGAAGTCTTTGAATGAAGCTTTTAGCTAAATAACTACTTTGATGATAACTGATTCCTGTAACTCCATCTTTGGTTGAACATCGTTGAATAAGCAATCATTTCTATACTTCCATATGGACCAAAGAGCAACATGAGGAATAACTTTCCAGATTCTCCTCTCAGTTTTGTTAAACCAGATGCCATCCCACCATTGCAACAAGCATTCGGCTAATCTAGGCACGACTCATTGAACACCCTGTAAGAAATGGTTTTGGAAAAACAGATTTTTCCTTAACTTTGATCTATTTTTTAGGTGGCACTACAACAAAAACGCATTTTAGTGACACCATATTAGTGGCATGTTCTTAAAAAATGTCACAAAAAGAATATTTTGTGGCATTTTTTAGGAAAATGTCATAGAGCCACAAACATACAAGGCTCTAGTGGCATTTCAATTAAAAAAAGTGTCACTTCACTACAACAAAAATGTCACTACAACAAATTTACACTTTAGTGACACTACACTAGTGGCATGTTTTTAGAAAAACCACAAAAATAATTGGCATTAAATGTTTTAGAAAAATGCCACAGAACCACAAACATATAAGGCTCTAGTGGCATTTCAATAAAAAATGTCACATCAATTTTATGGCATTTTATAAAATAATGACACAAAAAATTATGTTCATGACATTTACCAACAGATGCCACTATACTTTAGTAGCAATGGCATTTCTTAAAAAATGTCAGGACACTAGGTAGGTGCAAATTACTTTTTATGGCACTTAGGTGAAAAGTGTCATAAACAAATATTTTATAGCATTTTGAGAAATGCCATTAATCCAAAAACTTTCCAAGCTTATAATGACATTTTTGAAAAAACAAAAAATGTCAATATATTTTCTAAATTTTTAAAATGCAGAAAATGATTAAAAATAAATAAATAAAACTCAATATACACTATAGGAAAAAATTAAACTCAATAAAGTAAAGCTTTTTTGCGACTAAAAAAATTTAGTAGCCAAAAGTCTACAATTGGTGACTAAAAATAAGTTTGGTTGCTGATTTTATGGGTTTTACCAACTAAAAAAATTTTAGTAACCATAAGTAAAGTTTTTTGGTGACTAAAAAAATTTTAGTAACCAAAAGTCTACAATTGGAGACTAAAAAATAAGTTTAGTCGCCAAAAGTGGTCATTTTTAGCGCGGGAGAGCTAAAATCCTAAGGTGGGAATTAAATTTTTTGGCAACCAAAATTTTGGTAGCTGAAAGTGCATCTTTAGCGACCAAATCCGATTTTGGTCAGCAAAAGTTAAGTTTTTTAGCAACTAAAAAATAATTAGTAGTCAAAAGTATAGAATTGGCGACTAAAAAATATTTTTAGTCACAAAAAATGGTCTTTTTTTATTTTGCTAGTAAATAGTTTATTTTAAATAAATTATGTTCAATAAAATAATTTTGTTTATACATATACTTTTATATTAATATGGATGTATGTACTATATAAATAATATATGTTGCATATATAATCATGTGGTGCTATAGAGGTGTAGTAGGAAGTATGATGTATAAGGTTTATGGTGCGGGAGGTTGGCGGTTTGAGTCTCCGCAAGAGCGGATGAAATTGTTCTACAACGAATTGTTGTCACGAATGACACTTGATATCGTCACGAATAGTGCTTACCATGACATTAAAGTGTTACTGAAAGGTTTTAGTCTTGATAGTGCAATGACACTTATGAGTGTCACTAACTCTTTTTTTAATAGTGCTTGATAGTGCCACAAATAATATCTACCATGACATTAAAATATGATTAAAAGTTTTTAGCCATGATGGTGTAGTGGCACTTGCAAGTATCTACCGTGGCACGGATACAAATGGCACTTGTTCAAAATGCCACAAGACTAAAAATGTCATTAAACCAATAGTTTTGTGGCACTTTCAAATGTCACTAAATTAAGAAAATGTTGTAGTGTGGGAACAATGCGCCAAAGTTGACGAGTCTAAGTGGTAACGCATTCTATGTCGCGTTGTGATTCACGTAGTACATTTGGTTGCTCAAAACCATTATCGGGTGAATGAGAAATTGAAGACAAAGAGAGCTCCATGGAAATGGTATATTTGTGAAGTTTCCTTAAAGGTAACTAAAGGTTTGTCTCACATTGGTTTGGTGGGCAAACTTTTATGGGTTTATAAGGCTTGAGTTTGCAATTTTAGGAGGGCCTCAAGGGGCACCCCAAGTTTGAAGTAGAGAGAAGTTATGGGCAAAGTGGGCTAGACCCATTGGATTCGAAAATAAACACGCGTGTGCGCTATTCGAGCGGGCTGGGTTGGGCCAGTCCTGGATGTGAGGTTGGGCTTGTCCAGCCCAATACTTATCTTTTTAGGCCAAAAACATTACATTTGAATTTTATTTTTATTTTTTGTTCTGTTTTTACTTCAAATTTTGGTTAGAAATAAAATTCAAATTTTGATTTGCACCTCTTCTGAATTTCTGTATAGGTTCTATATCTGTCAAAACAGATCCGAATCTGTTCATATTCAAACCCAAAACAGTTCCTTATCTGTTTGAAATTCAAACCTGTATCTGTCCAAATATGTACCATACATGTTGGATTCAAACCAAATAGCTACTATTTTCATCTATAAATAGGCAATCCCTCAATTGATTTTTCATTCAGAAATTTCGTCCTAAATTTGTTATTGCTCTCTACATTCTTGCTGCATTATTTTTCTTGTGAGAAAAAAAAATATAAACATTAGTGTATTCGTTGTGTGAATAGTTTGTAGTGTTGCTAGTATTTACTGTTGATCATTTTATCCTAGGAGATAGACGTCCATAATCTAAAAGTACCGTGGAGAAGACGAATCTGTCTTAAGGACACAATGTTAAACACTGGACTTGATCAAAAATTTTGTTTGAGAAATTAATAAGGTAAGTAATTAATTTAATTTCAGTTTTAATTATTTTTCCTTTTTCAGATTCTGATTTTGTTTTAGTAACAAAATAAGAATATGTTTTTATTTATTTATTTTTATATATTGTTTTGATTTTTGTAATCAAATAGTCTCTCTCCTCTCTTTAATCCATTCTTCGAATACAGTGAAGATTGTCCAACACACCCCACCACTGCAGCAGACCAGTCCACACCCTCCAGACCATGGGGCACAAAATAAGCACATGCTCTATTGTCTCTTGCTCATTTTTGCATAAAACACATTCAGAAGATACACTCCCATCTGGTATTCCAATTCTCTGCAGAAACACAGAGGTCTTTACTGTATGTTTCCAAGCAAGCCACCCAAAAAATTGCATGAGTAGACTAGTTTGGGTGAATTATTTTCCACGGTGGAAAATAATTCACCCAAACTAGTCTACATATTAAACCCAACTCAACAGTATCTATAATTGTATGATTATAAAGGGTTGAGACAAAAGACTGACCTGATTGGGCTGCTAACCAAACTAGTTTATCTACACCATTCAAATTAATTGATGGGGCCAATCTCAACAAATCTCTAAGCCTGAGAAGTTTCTCATTCTCCCAAACAAATAAATTCCTTCTGAAACTCAACTCTCAATTTTCTGAGGCCTCGTTTGGGAACAGGCTAATTTAGTAACTTTTTGGCTATTTGGCTAAAATATGAATTAAAAAAAAACTAGTATGTTTGGGATGAATTTTTGACTTTTTATGAAAAGATGTGCAAAAAGTAGAGAGAAAATAGAATCTTTGACTTTTTGGTATGAGTTGTTGGCTTTTTGATTTTTTTAGTGACTTTTTAGCTTTTTGGCTAAAAAAGCCACCTAGCAAACGAGGCCTAAGTTTCCTTTCTTTTCAACAAATAACCTTAAGGAGCCCATTTTCTCAGTAGATAGCCTGAACAATCTAGGGAACTCCTCTTTAAGACAGACATCACCACACCATTTATCCTACTAAAACTTCACTCTAATTCCATTACCCACTGAAATCTTGAAGTTACTTGCATAGAAATGGAACAAATTGGTTCCATACTCTGCTACAACTAAGGTGTCACTCCACAGTTTTGAAATCCTAATACCTTGATTCAGAAAAGGAAACCATTCTCCCCATTCAAGATTGTACTTGCTACAGATTACCTTCTTCCATAAAGCTTCCACTTCATTTGCAAATATCCACCACCATTTAAACAAAAGGCAATCATTTACATCCCTTATTCTCCTAATTCCCAACCCTCTCTACATTTTGCTCATAGTTACCTCCTTCTATTTCACCATATGTAATGTCCTCTTTAAGTTTGTGCCTCCCCATAAAAATGCAACCTAAATTTTGTCAATTTCCTTAGCAATTCTTTCTGGCATCTTAAAAAGTGATAGGTAATACATTGGAAAATTAGATAATATTGCCTTCATCAAAATCAACCTACCAGCAAAGGACAAAAATCTTCTCTTCCATCCAGCAAGCTTAACCTTTAATTTTTCAACAGCTAGTTTCCAAATTTTCTTTCTACTTGGGCTCACTCCCAAAGGCAATCCAAGTCCGAGCATAAGTTAACAAAGCAACTGTTTTTCAAGTTAAAAAAATTATTATGTAAGAATTAAAATCTCAAAATAATTTTAACTGTTATACTAAGCCTTGGTTTGGTTTTCTTGCTAGGCTATATAATCACAAAAGACAAAAAAAAAAAGAAAAAAAAGGCTACAAAATCACAAAATGACGAAAAAAGTTACAAACACTACAAGGAAACAGGATATATAACACGGAACTTTTTGCGACGGTATAGGTGCCGTCGCAAAAAATGGTTTTTTTGAGACGGCGTTTGTTGCCGTCGCCAAAAATGACTTTTTGCGACGGTAGTGACCCCGTCGCTAATAAATGTACAAGAAAAATTCAGGAGCATTTGCGACGCCTGGTGTACCGTCGCAAAAAAAATTTCTTGAGACGGGAAAAAGTTACTGTCACAAATAATGGACATTTTGTGATGATAAAAGTCCATCGCAAACTATGCCGTGTTAAAACGACGTCGTTTTATTTGCTCATATTTATCATTTGCGACGGTTTAAATATGCTGTCGCAAAAAGTGAAAATTCCCTCACCCGCTCATTTATCCCATTCGCGGTGAAATTTTCCCCTAAATCCCTAAAATACTTTTGAAAGCAAAATCCCCCAAATCCCTAAAACTTTTGAAACCAAAATCCCCAAAATCCCGACCTCTGGGTTCCAGCATTCAGCATTGCTAGTGACGGTGAACGACGATGAGGGTAGACGAGGGTGAACGACAACGAGCAACGAGTGGCGGCTAGCAGCGAGGGTGAATGACGACGAGGGTGGACGAGGGTGAACGACGACGAGCAGCAGCGAGTGATGGCCTTCGCAAACCCTTCCACTCTCAACTCCCTCCTGGGTATAACCTCCAGAAGACTCAGGCCGTTCCATAGGGGCGAATGGCTACGGGATGAGCTTCCTAACTTCAACAAGAAGGTCTGTTTATTCTCTATTACTATTTCATATTAATTGATATTTACAAAAATAACTACTCACACAGAAAGGACCTCTCTCTCTCTCTCTCTCTCTCTCTCATACACACATTCTTGATGATGACGGAGAATAAATCTAAGTACACTACAAAGTACCACTGCTCACGTGAAAGTACCACTTCGTTTTTAATTTGGTCTTGAAGGTTGTTAGAATATTTTGTTTAATGTTCTCTATTTTGTTTCCATTGATGGTATACTTTATTGAGGACTTCTCTAGTTGATCTATCATTTACTTCTCTCACTTTGAGTAGGTATGCAACATCAAGTGCACGCTCTGATGGTCTTCTTCTGCTCTGTGGAAGGAGGGATGCTAATAGTGTGGTAAGTTAATGGATTCTTTGCATGCTCGATGGATTCAAAGTATTGAGATATTATAAGCCATGTACTTAAGCTAGCTTATTGCCATTCTGAAACGATTTAGTTTTTCCAGGGCATTGATGAACTTTTTGCCTTTATATGTTTTCTCCGCTTAAGTTGGTTGTTGGCTTTCTTTTTTACTTTGGGGAGCCGGCAGTAGCACTCGTTGAAAGATCTGTATTCTCTTGTATTTTGGTTCCTTTCAAGGAGCAGAACCTGGAGTGTTCAAAATATTCATTTTAGTTTGTCTATGAATGGTTAATTTGGCATTGTTCTGTGTCTACTTGATGGTGTCTCAGTTATTTGACTTTCACGAGCTTTCATTTTGGGCCATGCAGCTATATATAAGAAAAAAATTGGTACAATTCTGGTTTAATATGCATGTCCTACTAATTGGGATGGATTGTCAAGTTGAATGCATGCGAGATAGTTTATCCTTGGGGTTGCTTTGGGAAGAGACTATTGTCCAAGTTACTCCCACGTTCTACCATTTGTGAAACTTAACATTTTCTTCATGGTTAAGATTAGTTAAAATTTGGTTAATGTAAATATGAAAAATGTTATAGTTGATATTGAATTGAATGGGTCTAACCCATTATTTCCATGTCGAGATCAGGTAAGATTTGGTTAAGGCTAATATGAAACAGTTGCTGAAATTGAATTGGAGTGTGTTTAGCCCATTAGACTCTATGCCACCAACAGATTGGGTGATGGTGGGTGAGACTTTTTAGCCAAGAGAGGGTTCCATATCTTGAGTGTGTAAGGTCATCACCCATCAGTCATCACCATCAGTCATCACTTCCTCTATTTGGGTTCTTGGGTTTGTATCTGTTGGGGTTTTTATTCTGTTTTTCAATTTGTTTTTTTCTTTTGGGAGTTAAGTTTTGTCCATTTTTTTACATGTTGACTTGACTTTTTGGAAGATGATGTCTAATACACGCATATATGTGTGGTTGCGCATGTGTGTGTGTTTTTGGTGGAGTTTTATGGCAGTATGTTTGCTCTGAACACACTGTTATAATCTGCTATGAACATTATCTTTCAATTTTATCTATATGATTTATTCTCTCTAATGATATCAAGATAAATCACTTCCATTGTTGTTAATGTTTAACCTTTTACGTCCTCTTTGAATATTTTTGCAGCCATTGGCAAGTGCATATGGACTTGCGAAACATAGAGATGGTCGGTGGGAATGGGCAATTGCTCCTGGTGTCTCACCATCTCCTAGATATCAACATGCTGCAGTGAGTTTTTCTTTTATGTAAAAAAAAATAATAAAAAAAACCACTGTTGACTTCTTTTATGTGGCTAGAAAACCAATCTTTCACATGTGCTCCACTCTTGTAGGTTTTTGTTAATGCGCGGCTCCATGTTTCTGGAGGTGCACTTGGTGGTGGACTTATGGTGGAGGACTCATCAAGTGTTGCAGGTATGTTCCTTGAAACCTTGCAAGTATGTTGACATCGTTGGTGTAAAAAAGCTACACTTTTATATGACATTTTTTAAATCACAAGGATCTTTATTTAAGTACACAAGGGTTTACCTTTGAAAATCAAAGATGGAGTGCCTACCTAATTGTGGTAAGCAAGAACACCAGAAAGCTACTCGATGCACAACGTTCATTTGTTCCTTATATTTGCTCGTATACTTGCACTGAGATTGAGCTTTTGATGTGGGTATTGTCTAACGGAAATAAGGTTCTGCAAGTCTCATGCTTTATACATTTTATTTGCCACTCAATGATATGATAACTGATCAGAAGGTTGGCTAGAATATTTGGTTTATAGATTCAGTTGACCTCCTCTACATATGATTGTGCAGAGAAATCATTATATACTGGATTTGTTGCTGAACTATTGGAATTTTCACTTATGGATGTTAGCTTGAATTTTCTGGCTGAGATATAGATTGGTCATTTGGGTCGTAGGTGGGCTGTTGATTATTATGAGACAACTTATATATCCTGGGAAAGTTGTCTTGCAATTCAAAAGCATAGTGAAGGATGACACTAGGCTTAGTAATTTTATGTTTAGGCATTTACCCCCCCTTTTTTTTCCCTTTGATAAGATTTTATTAGAAGAAAAGAAATAACTGACCAGTTTCTCATTGTCATTGAGTGAAACCAAATTTATGAGTGATTCAAGAATCTTCTATTTTTAACTTTCTAGAAACACGAGGGCACATCATATGGCCTAAATCATGGACGTACATCACATCAACAGCTGGGTAATGTGTCTCTGCCTGCTGCCAACAGTCGCTTCGGAATTATACTGTATGGGTCGATCCTCGTCTCTCGTTTGTTTTAGCAATTTATCCTAAGGTCTCCTTGCCAATAGCATTCCAAATGAGAACAATGAGAATTTTTTGAAAATTGCATACCAGGGTGCCACCTTCTAACAAAAATTTATCTTCTTCCAAAGACAGTGGACCCTCATCAAGAATTTAACCAAGAGTTTCTTCACTTCTGATCTTAAAAATGAAAAAGCCGTTGTCAAGTGTAACCACTTTATCCACTAGAAGCAGTTTCATTTATGATTTTTTATTGAAAGCTTCATGGCATCAATTTCTATCATATCTCTTGTTTCTGTTTGTCTAGTCCTGGATATTGCAGCAAGAGTCTGGTGCGATACAAAATCTGTTGTTACTACTCCCAGGACAGGCAGATACAGTGCTGATGCTGCTGGTGGAGATGCTGAAGTTGAGCTGACGAGACGCTGTAGGCATGCCACTGCTGCTATGGGTGACCTGATATTTATCTATGGTGGTCTACGTGGTGGTAAGACATGAACATGTGATGGAACTTCAATTTGTTGCATTTTGTTTTAGATTTCAAGCTGGCAAGTACTTTCTAGCATCTGATATGGTTTTGCATTCTGATACCCCAGCATACTATGGTGGATCTGTTCTAATTCACATTGTCCCAGCACAATATTCATCTATCCTGATTTGCACGTAGTAAAGTGATATAGCCTTTCAAAGTGCTTGAAGTTGTTGTCTATGATGCTCAATTGATGGCTCATCCTTCTTTCGAAAAATGTTATATTTGATCATAGTTGTTAAATAAAATTAAGATTTGAATCATGAATCAGAGTGGGATATGTATGGTTTAGAAACTAAATAAAGTGATTGGATTGTTTTAGAAACTAAAATATGTATGGTTCAAAATATATATATTCTATTAAAAGTGTCTTTGCATTCTTCGAGAATAAGTAAAGAAATTTATGTTTTCAAAAAACTACAATCTGGGTCTCTGTATCGGATAAGTGGATCCATGCAAATTTACCCATCATTAATTCATTCAATGTCTTTTACATTTCCATCATTTATCAATTTTCGGAATGAAAAAAAGAAGACCATCTATATCTATATCTATAAAGTGTACATACGAAACTTGGCACACACGACCGCCTAGGCATGAAAATTGGCACACAGAAGTATTGCTTGTCCCTTTAACGACTCCTAATATTTAATTATTAACACCCTTGTTGTCATCTTTTGAATACTTGAGAAAAACATGCATACTAGAATTTTATCTTTATTGTTTCTACCCTCGACGACAATAAGGAAATTTCTTCATGTGCTGAATCAGGATGTGTTGATTGCAATTGAATGGAAAATATACGTTTTTAAAACCACGGATCGTCTTTGCGGTGTCCTTGGATGAGATGTTTAGTGGAGAGATATCTGTTTCCATGGTATTTTCTCTTTTTTTCATTGTTGTTATCTAAAAATATGTGATATAGCCTTCTGAAGTTTGTAAGTGGTTTTGTTTCTTCAATTTAAATTTTCATTTAAACTTGATCTGGACTCATTGATTGATGTTTAAGGCCATTTAAATTTGAAATTATCATTGCGTTCATTAGAGACATTACAAACTGATCTCATCAAAAGTGTTGTTGGGGGTTAGAAGTCTTCCTTGCTTGTTCTTAGGTCTTTTATTCCATTTTTTTTAATTGTCATCTTATTTAAAGGTTGTATATTAACCTCTATTTGATGAATAAAGGGTTGTAGTTACAACATTAGAAAGAACTATGTTTTTAAGAAGTCCGTTTTGAGTAGTGTATAAAAATTTGATTCTTCCAAAAGAGCATTTGGAGCTTGCTTAACCACAAATTAACATAGTTATGGAACTCCACGAATAAAATACTTGTTATATATAGGTCTAGAGGTTTACATTTTGTTGTGTAGCATATAGCTCAATCTAGGATATATTTACACCTTTATGTGTACAAACATAATATATGCTTATATGCCAATTAATTGATGGATGATGAACTTTTGTATAGATACTAGAAGATTGACATTTCTTTAAAGGTGTTATAACTTATTTCCATTGCTTAATTTTCTCAAAATTGCATCTATTCTCTTTGTTGATTGAGATGTTTAATTATCTATGTGGGATTTGATGACTAACAAAAAAAATGTTGTTGTATTTGATGTTGTTGGGAGTTAGAGTCAGATTTCAGATATAATTTTTATATTTTTTTGTATTTGATGTTATAGTAGTTAAATTTTTATTTTTGTATTTGATTGAGATGTTTAATTATCCATGTGAGATTTGATGACTAACCAAAAAAATGTTGTATTTGATGCCATAGTAGTTAAATTTTTATGTTTTTTTGTAATTAACGTTAACACATAATTATATTGTCATTAATTATTTTTATTTTTATTTTTCAGATATTTTCCATGCAGGAGTGTGCTTCTTGTGGAATGCATACCTGTGGATAATGTGGATAATTTTTATTTTTGTTATCTACGAAGAATGATGAGAAAAACAATTAATTTTGGTTTATGTTATTTTGAATTATGAACAAAATCATGTATTTAAACATTATATATGTATTATGGAACATTATGTAGTGAAATAATTTTGTTGATGTGTAATTCTGAATGGAAGAATATTTTATTATGGAGAAATTGCTATTTTTATATAGAAATTTTTATATTATTTTATTATGGAGAAATTGCTATTTTTATATAGAAATTTTTATATTATTATGCAATTATATGGAGAAATTTTAATATTTTTAATAATTTTATCGCATGATGTTTTTTTATTTTTGGTGACGGCATTACATCGTCGCAAAAACCAGAAAATTTTAATATTTTTATTAATTTTGTTACAGGTTTTACTTTTTGCGACAACACTAAATTGTCGCAAAAAATAGAAATTTTATTATTTTTTTAATACTTTTTGCGACGGTAGTACACTGTCGCAAAAAATAGAAATTTTTATATTTTTAATACTTTTTGCGACGGCACCACACCGTCGCAAAAACAATGTTCTTGTCGTTGCAAAAAAAAGACTATTAGCGACGGTATTTTTTGGCGTCTCAAATAACATTTTTAGCGACGGTAAAATAGTGCCGTCGCAAAAAAGTCAAGAAATTTCGAACATTTTTAGCGACTGTAAAGTGCCGTCGCAAAAGGCAAAAATGCCGTCGCAAAACATTTGCCGTCGCAAAAACTTCTTTGCAACGCCCCTAATTGCGACCCCCCTCTTACCGTCGCAAAAAGTCATTTGCCGTCGCAAAATGTTTTTTGCGACGGCATTCGGAGTATTAGCGACGGCATTTTACCGTCGCAAAAAACTAAAATTTTAGTAGTGAAAAGTACCAAACTATCCCATATACAAACAAAAAGTCAAAAAAGTATTATTCTATACTAAGGGCAATTTTGTCATTCCAAAGCTAAAAAGTCAAAAAAGCCAAACAAGAATACCAAATGACTAAAAAAGTCTTTAGCCAAAAAAGTCAAAAAGCCAATTAAAAAAGTCATTGCCAAACGACCCTTAAGACTGTTTGTTTCAACGTAAAATATTTTATATAAAAAAGTTTTTTTTTTTTGTAAATTGATTTTACACAAAAATATATATTTTTATTTTTCGGCATTTGGTTGATACTCAATAAAGTGTCATTCATGATTTTTTTTTTTTGGTGAGTTAAGACACACTTATTTGAGTGAGAGTCAATTTTATAAAAATTGATTTACAGAATTTTTAAAAGTAAATTATTTTTTGAAAAATGGTGCAAAAATATTTTCCTTATAAAATATTTTACTTACTTCTTGTTCAACCAAATAACAAAAAATGAGTACGTCAAAACGGACAGAGTCAAGTAACGTTATGCCTCAATCAAATGGAGAGACTAAACTAAGGCCAAAGGGTCCAAAAAACTAAGTTTAGTTACTTAAAAAATAATAATGTTTAATTAGTAATTTTGTAGTTTACTATGTTATCCATTAAAATTGATATGATACATTTTGATTATACAAGTTTAATTAGTAATTTTATTTTTAAAAATTAATGTTTAATTGAAATTTTGTGGCATTTAGATAAATTTTTTTTTAGTATTATAGCTTTATATTTTGTTTGGTATATTTTTTTATTGTATACTTTATTTTACTTAACTGTAAAGTAACAAAACTATATATAATTAATTTTTTTTTTTATCAATGTAAGAAAATGTTGGTAATTAATTAAAACAATCTGTGTGGGTACCAGTAAATTTATTTTAAAAAAAAAAGAGTCTTATTAACATGTGTTTTTATTTTAAGAAAACTTTAAAAGATTGTATATTTTTTTTTTTATCAATGTAAGAAAATGTTGGTAATTAATTAAAACAATCTGTGTGGGTACCAGTAAATTTATTTAAAAAAAAAAAAGAGTCTTATTAACATGTGTTTTTATTTTAAGAAAACTTTAAAAGATTGTATATTTGTCTATTACATTCATTTTCATGCGCAATGCACAATTTTATAAGTCTGTTATCATGTACCCTAAAAATACACATTAACAAAATTCAAAAAAATAAAAATAATAATAATAAATTTTTTTATTTTGCATGTGTGAATATATATATATATACACACATATACATAAAGACCCCCAACTTGAGAGTTCACTTAGGGCCTCTGAAGCTTCAAGATGCTGATGACAATTCAGTTTGTTTAAACCAAAAATATTTTTTATATTTTTTATTGTTTGGTATAACTGAAAAGTAAAAATTAATAGCAAATATGTTATTTTAACGGAAAATGTCATTTACTTTTGAAACGTGAAAAATATTTTCTAAATGAATGTGTTATCAATATTGCCATCATCACTATCGGTGGTACTGTTGCTACCATCCCTACTACCACTATTAATACAATTATTAACAAATTAATATTAAGAGCGCAATCAAACATAAAAAAAAAAATATAAATTGTGAAATTATTTTCCCTAAAATGAAAAAATGTAGTTGGTACTCAACATTTTAAAAATACATAAGTTACTTTTTAGCATGATCATTACGTTTTCACTTACAATACAATAGTGTATACTTAATTATATGTATTTGTAGTTTTAAATTTTTTCATTTAATAAAAATAATTAATATTTTAAGGAAGCTTCAATTCATTAAATTCATTAATTTAATTCTAAGTCACATCAAACAAAAGAAGCTTCAATTCATTAATTCAAAGAAGCTTCGTTTGGGAAGTTTGGGAAGTGGATTGATTTTTTGACCTTTTGATTTTTTTGTCTGAGGCTAAAAAACTTAGTTTGGAAAGAACTTTTGACTTTTTTAATTTTTTTGATTTTTTTGTGAGAGAAAGAATATAATGATTATGAATTTGATGTGATGTGTTGTCTTATTAGACTAAAAAACTTATTTTATTTTTTGTGACTATTTTAATCAAAAAAATCCTCAAACCCAACTTTCCATAATTTGCTGCAATCAACTTGGTAGCACACTTGAGAATATTGGATAGTGCTAAATTTCTTAAGTTAACACCAATTTTATCGTGGAGGAATCCCTTCTCTCTTTTTCTCTCTCCAAGAAATTACAGTTGCTTTATTTATTTTTCTACTATCTCTTTAAAAACCTCTATCTACGGAGAGAGCGCAGTGCTTCTAACTTTCACTTTCTCTCCGTTTTTTCTCTGACAATTTCTTTTTTTTTTTACCATCACCATGCTAACCAATCTCGCTCCCATAATCTCCATTCATTATAAAAAAAAAAAAAATTTCTAGATATTGATTTGTGATTATATAACAATTTTAAGCAGTATATAACAAT